ACATTTTTTATAGAGATGGGGTCTTGCTATTGCCCAGGCTGGTCTCAAACTTCTGGGCTCACGCAATCCTTCCACCTTAGCCTCCCTGAATGCTAGCATTACAAGCATGAGCCACCACACCCAGCCTAGACAGTCAATTTAGATGAGACTCATTTCTCCCTTAGCTTATGACATCACACTGCCCTGTCTGCTTCTGGCCTCTCCTCCCACCTTAATTATGCTAGAGCTAGGAGAACCAGTTAAAATGCCATTGCAAAAATCTAGTTTGGAGTTAACAAACTAAATGCCCCATTGTCTGTTTTTGAAAATTTTTATTGGAATGCTCATTTGTTTTATGCTCCATCAGCAGAGCTGAGTAGCTGTTACAGAAACTCAATGACAGAAATTGTCTAATTTTCAAAGCCTGAAATATGTAACTGGCCCTTTACACAAAAAGTTGGCTGACCTCTTTCGAGATGCTCTAGATCTAGAAGAAAGACTGTGTACTGCTAGGAATCAAGAGATGACTATAAGATATAAGAAAGAAGCTAATGACTAATTGAAAGTGGTGCAGTAAGGAAACAAAATTTTCAAAATGACACCTAGAGATTTCCAGTTCTGATGTGTGGGTGAATACTGCTGTTAACTAAGGGAGGTAACACGAAGCCAGGAAGTTTGCGTGAGGAGGTAATACTGAAAGGGAGACTATGATCATGATTTGACTTACAGCTATTTTACATTTGAAGGTACTTATTAATATACTGTATCCAAATAAAGATAATAACTATAACATCAGTGCTGAGGAGTAAAAGAGAAAAATCTGGGAATGCCTATGTGTCAGAGCAAAAAAATAAAATATAAAACCAGAAAGCAAGTGCTTATAATTTAAAAGTTCCAACACATACCAATTTCTCTTTCCTACAGATGTAGTTAATTGCTAAGTCTGCACACCATTTCTCTCATCACACCTCATATCCCTTACATGGTGATTTCACCATATTCAGTTGACTTTCATTATTCACAGATTATTTGTGAATGCACCTATTTGTCAAAATTTATTTGTAATTCCAAAATCAACACTCATGGTGCTTTTATGATCATTTACAGACAATATTCACTGTAAAAAATTGAGTCACCTGACACAACTTACTCTCAGCTGAGGTTGAATAAGGGTATTCTCTGCCTTCTTGTTTCAGTTCTTTCATTGTAAAACAAATGTCCTTTTGTGGGCTATTAAGTGTCATTACTATTCTTATATTTTTTGTTGGTGATTTCATAGTTTAACACATTGACCTGCCACATTAGAAAAAAATTTTTTTTCCTTGGGGCCACGGTGTTTGATTATGAAAATAGAATAAAAACTAACTTCAAAAACAATCCTTTTTAATTTAATTAAAAATGTATTTTTTATTGTTTTCTGTGAGTTACATGCAACTTGAAAAATAGTTATCACAGCTCCCAAGGTGAAGAGATATGAGTTACATATGCTTCACGAGTCCCGAGGCTCAAAACTAGAATGAGTTAAATATTAATACAACTCACATGGCAGTTAATGTGTTAAAATGGTCCCAAAGCGTAGTACTGAAGTTCTGTGTAGTGTTCTTACTCACCGTTAAGGCTGAATCCTTTATAGAGAAAATACATGTGGTAAGCTTCATTCAGGCATAAGTTTTAGTGCTACTGGCCATGAGCTCAATGTTAATGAATCAACAATATATATTGAAGTGTCATTAAACAGAAATGCACATAAAACAAGGTTATGTATTTAATATTACCCATTGACAAAAATGTTATGAACTGAGTGTTGTAGGAAATAACCCTGTATTTCCCCTAGGTCCTAGGTTCTAGGAGCAATGCATCAGTAGTCACTAATAGAGTGTGGGCACTTTATAGAACATAACTATCACGAATAATGGGAATAGGTTGAAACTTAGTTCACAACCAGATAAACTTCTTGAAAAACCTCTTATTCATCTCTGTGTAACATGTAGTGCATTGCCATTCATTGACATTTTCTAAATCTCTCATTACCAGAGAATAGACCTATTTGTTTTCAAATTTATGTGGCCTTTCCTACAGACAGGATCTAATACACATACCCGTATTGGAAAGGGAGTTCAAAGATGACCTAGGTCAAAGGCTAGAACATCCAGGAAAGGTTTTCAGAACAAACAACTACAAATGTAAAAAAGTGCTTTTTAATTTTTAGCCAGAAGGATCAAGTTGACACAATAAAGTTTTTTTTACTAGAATATTAATCATGTCTGTCCATATGACTTAAGCAACATGACTATTTAATGAAAGTTAAGATGGCAGGGCATTTTAAATTTATGCAAAATTTATAATTATTGTTCTTTAAAATACTTCTATAAAATTATAAATTGATAATCCCCCAAATTGGAAGTTACATAATTTTAATACAATTTGAAATTACAGTTGTTTGTACAACAATGAATAAGGACGAGTTTCCAAGTCAGATATCAACCTTAAAATTCAAAAATAAACAGAAGAAATGTAAAGTTATATCAACATTTATAAATGTTGCCTAGAGCAAGGCTACTTAAAACATGGCCCATGAACTGTTTGTGATTTGTCTAAAATGAAGGAAAGAGCTTGCGCCAATATGAAAATCAATTATGTCACTAATAACACTGGTTCAGCTGACTTTTTTTTGTAACAAGACTTCCTTGATAAAGGAAGCAGTATGTTGATTTACAACCTGGCACAAGCACCTTATCTCATCACAGACTGGAGAACAGTTACTGCTTACTTCTTTTAAAGTGCCATTATAAGTTCACTGCTCAGAGCTAGATTAACTTTACTGTAGGGAAAATTATTAAAATGACAATTGTAATTGTTATCTAAATGTCATGTATTTTAAAATCCCATCTATTCAGGGATCCTATCCAAAAAGCAAATTAAATTTTATAAAATTATCACAACATTCATCCTCAGATGTGTTTAAGTGTTACTGACATCCATCCACTCAGGCTCTGTAGATTCCTACTTCAGTGAGATACCTCAGCTACTTTTGATGATGATTTTTTTTTTAATCTTCGGAGAAAAAGAATAAGAACTGAGTCATTTGCTAATAAGTTCTCTTGAAAGATTGGTTTATTTCCACATTTTGATCAGTAAAAATACTTAAATGCACCTTTATGAAAAAACTGGATTTTTATATTCTTTGTGCAAACACTAGTTGCTTTTTTATAATAAAACTTAATATTAGGAAAAGAGGCATGGAAATTTATAACTCCATGTATTCTAAACTAAGGGGAAACATGTAAAATATTTTAAAATTCCTCAGAGAAAGAGAAAGTTGGTATAAAATGTATTTTTAAGAACTAGCTTATAATTCAAAATTCAAACAATTCTTGATTTTTATTTTTTGGTATGGCATGATTCCTTTACAAATTAAAAAAATATAATATGGTATTTTTTAGAAAAGTTATCATTTCCTTATTATCCAATGACTAAGCTTTACTTGCTTTATCTTAACACTGAAGGTAAGTAAATGGACAATCAACAGTTTAGAAATAACTCATCAGTTTTAGATATAAAAGAGCTCAATTCAGTTTCCACAATATCTAGTTTATTCGACCAACAAACTACTTCTTAAAGAATTTAAATGTATATTTATATGTCATAAGAAGAGAGTTCCTTTGGCACCTGAGTTAAGCACAATATACTATAGCCAAGAATCTCTAAGAGAAAGTTGTCTAAAGACTATATTTTATCTGTCTATACATATATACATACACCTATACATATACACATGTACACACACATACACACATAGAAATAAATTTTCCTTAAAAAATGCTGAAGATGTTAAAGGAATTCACTAGTCAAAGTGACCTGATAATCATTAAAAACAGCTTTAAGATATTAAAGAATTTGGAGTCATGAAAATTTTGAAAAGTTAAAGGTTTCAAAGCATTATACAATTCAAAGGGGAAACAACAGGTTGTTGTTTTTTGTCAAAATATAGTTTCTTTTGATACCATAACATGGTCATAGATCACCGTTATCTTAACATAACAGACTTCTTAATGGTTATCAGGTGAAAACTCATCAAAGATTACTCTGAAAAGAGTAAATCTTCCCACCCCCATTAGGAGTAAACATAGTCACTGGCCACTGATCAAATATTCTGTTCTCTGTGGACTCTTACTTGCATTCATCCCAGCAAAGGACCATACAGACAGGCCACTCTGCAGATGGCCTTATGCTGAGCCCCCTCACTCACTAGGAATTTTACCCAAGAACTTTAGAAGGACTTGATGTCATGTTTTATGATCACATCAACCTTGCTACTGCTAATTCTGGCACTGTGTTAATACTCCTACTGGGGCTGTGATTTTTTAATGCACACTTTTAGAACTCTGAAAGACTGGCTTGTATTCTAAGATGTAAACGACATCTAAAATTTAGTAAGCTGCCGGAGTCTGTCAACATTTTCTTCTATACTCAATTAACAGATATGTTTGACTAACTAAAACTAAAACACATTTAATTTTACGTAAGTACCTTTTATTCCAGAAATTCTAGAGGATGAAAAACCTCTACACTTGTATAGCATCTATTCTCCATTTCTTTCAGATCTTGCTAGATCTGACATATGTTGAGAGTGGGCAAAAGGCATTTAAGTTAAAAAAAAATGAAACCATGCTACTCTTTTCCTGCTCCAGATTATAGAGAATATCTCTGATCAGGTTTCTAGCTCCCTCTTTGCTCTGGTTAAAGGGCCTCTCTCATACAACAGATCATATATAATGGAAATCTTATACTGTTTTGAAATATCTGTAATTGAAAAACATTTTCAATTGTAAAATGTCTCTTAAGCATCTATAAAGTAGTATATAGTTTGGCTTAAATTTGATACTGTTTTACTAAATATAATAAATTATGTCAACAGAGGTATGGTATAGGACTCATCTTAGAGAACCTATTAATTCCTATGTCTTCATTTTGTTCAGTTTATACCAACTATACTATAACCCAAACCACTTTTTTTCCCCGATATGTGAAACATTTTGGTAAGTTCACTTGAACTTGAATTCTTTCATTAACATGTGAACTCACATGTAGAATTTTATGTTTTGTCATATATTTAAATATTTTCTTCTTTGCGGAGCTTTCTCAGGATAGGAAATTATATTATACTAGCTACTAAGTAATTTGGTATTAAAAACACTTCCCTAAATTCTTCTAGGCAAAAGTGCATTTACAATATAAACATGCCATATATGAAGCCTCAAACCACAATCTCACACTGGAGTGGATATAAAATTTCAAATTCAGTCCAAATGAGTCAAAGAAAAAAGTGCTAACAGAGCAAATCTGAAACAAGTTCATGGGGATTGGGCAATGAGTCATCAAAGCGAAATCTTTTGGAAACCACGCTGCTATCCTCTGGGATATTCTCTTTGTCCTCTCGATCGCCACAGGTTCCATTACAAGAGGATTTGGAAGTCTTGTCTTCAGAGGACCTTACTGTATGATCGTGAATTTGAGAGGAACTGGAAGTTTCTTCAGGGTGAAACAAGTTTCCAAAGTCCCATTGCTGTAGCCAAGAATGAGAAAGGCAGATCTCTGCTGTTGGTCTTTTCCTTTGAAAGAAAGCACCAAAGGAAAATTGAGAACTAAAAATCAAGTTGAAAATGTCTTCAGATTTATAGATTACATATTTTTTAATTATTATAAAAATAACACATGCTCATAATTTATAATTCAAACAGAAGGGAATAATAATGGTAATAGTAGCTAACATTTTTTTTAATGGGATGCTTAGTTATACACCAGGGACTCTTCTGTACACTTCAAATATATTATCCAATAATCACAAGAAACCTAGGAAATGGGTATTATGCTCATTTAAAAGATATAGGAAAAATAAGATACCAAGAGGCTTGAATTTTGCCCGAAATCTCCTAACTTGTAAATGGTACAGTCAAGTGGGACCTTGACTCTATAGTCTGTGCTTTTAAACATTATACCATGTCATCTCCCATGAAGGTAAGAAGTAAAATTATTTTCTGTTTTCTCATTCCCCAGTCCCACCACCCTCCAGATATTTTTTCTACATATGTGTGCACATATGTACACACACACACAAAGCTTCATATACTCCACATTTCTGCAATTTGCTTTCTCTACCCACTCAACAATGCATTCCAAGCATCTTTCTTCATCAGTACAGATTTAACATATTAACAGCTGTATTACTGAGTACTCTTCCTCATGGATATACCATATTTATTTAACTAGATCCCCAATGTTGTTGCCAGCATTTTGTTATTATAAGAAATGTAGCAATGAACATTAAGAAAAAAATTTTTTTGGAACTTCTCTGATTATTTCCATAGGATAAATTATGAGTAATGTTACCAAGTCTTTATATTTTGAAAGACTGTGCTTAGCTGCCTCTGAATGACTTCTAATGCCCAACCCTACCAATATCTTAAGATTATGAAAATATAATACAAGTTTTCTTATAGCACTTTCATGGTTTTTTTTTTTTTTTGCTTAAATCTTTATTCCATCATAAATTTATATCTGTATGAGAAGCAGGATAAAAATAGCTTTATTTTTTCCAATAAACCTTTTCTAGGAAACATAACTTACATGGAAAGAAATTTTAGTGGACACAACACTAGTTTCTCTTATAAGAAGTCTTGATTCTAGTCTGCCCCTGACTAGAAGACAATGGAAACTGCACTTAATTTTGAGATTTCCTTCACTGCAGAAAGAAATATTTGCCTTTTTTTCTAGGTAAATGAAATATTTTTTTTCTTAAGAAACAAAACTGATGGACAAACTTATAGCCATGATTCAAGCATTACAAAAGTGATCCATGTAACAAAAACATTTTTATCCTTTTAATATTTTGAAATAAAAAATTAGAAAATTAAAATAAAAACTGGCCAGTTCAAGTGAAAAATATGCTATAAATACAGATAGTAAGCAAATATGTTATAATATTTCTTGCTTCAACTATACCTGAAGACACAGAATAAGAAATGAATGAAACCAAGGAAAGTTTAGACTTTGCATTTCCTCATCACCTCCATGTCTGATGCCTGCTCACATGTGAATTCATTTTATGTATAAAAGTGTCTTACTCATGATTGCTGAAAGATACAAAAGCAAAGTACCTAGAATATCTTTAATTCTGACATGTGCTAAAAATTCAATTTGTCATCGAGCTTATAGATGAGAATCTAGTCAAAAAACTTGAGAACGTATGTTAACCTAACAGATACAAATAAGTAAAATTATAAAATCTTTTGGAATGACAAGCCCTTTGGAGAAAAATATATCTAATTTATATTCTCTTATATTAGTCTTTTGTATTCTTAGCAACTGCTAAATCTTGAAAACAAAGGCTATTTGTCAATGTTTGCCCAATACTTTGAGTTTTTAAATTTTATTTTCTATTATGAAATTTATGTGGTGAAATATCACAATTTGGCGGGGTGCAGTGGCTCACACCTGTAATCCTAACACTCTGGGAGGCTAAGGCAGGAGGATCACTTGAGTTCAGGAATTAAAGATCAGCCTGAGCAAGAGCGAGACCCTGTCTCTATAAAAAATAGAAAAATTACCAGGGTGTGTACCTATAGTCCTAGCTACTCAGGAGGCTGAGGTAGGAGGATGGCTTGAGCCCAGGAGTGTGAGGTTATAGTGAGCTAGAATGATGCCACTGCTCTCCAACCGGGACAACAGTGAGACTTTGTATCAAAAAAAATAATCACAATTTTTCAAAAGGAGGGGAAACACCTACCTATATTTATAACTAATATTCATAATATAACATATTATGATTGGTTAAATTCATAAATTTAACTAATCACCATTATCATTTGGATATATTTCCATAGTCTTGTGTTTTTATGTTTAGTTTTTTTCTTTTTTTTGAGACGGAGTCTCACTGTGTTGCCCAGGCTAGAGTGAGTGCCGTGGCGTCAGCCTAGTTCACAGCAACCTCAAACTTCTGGGCTTAAGGGATCCTGCTGCCTCAGCCTCCTGAGTAGTTGGGACTACAGGCATGTGCCACCATGCCCGGCTAATTTTTTCTATATATATTAGTTGGCCAATTAATTTCTTTCTATTTATAGTAGAGATGGGGTCTTGCTCAGGCTGGTTTCAAACTCCTGACCCCAAGCAATCTGCCCGCCTTGGCCTCCCAGAGTGCTTAGGATTACAGGCGTGAGCCACCACGCCCGGCCTTTAGTTTTTTTTTTGATTAAAAAAAATTAACATGCTCATTACAGAAACTTGAGAATCTAGGTAAAAAAAATTAAGAAAATGAAAATTGCTTATAAAGAGAAACTACAGAATTATTACTGTTTCTACTAAATAACCATTCATGTGTATATTCCAAAATACAGCCAGCGAGAGTTTGTTTGAACTTGTAGAAGCCAATAAAATAGTTAAGAAATCTATGAGTTTTTTTTTTAAAAAAATAAAAAAACTGAGTTCTGCAGGTGATAAAGAGATGAAAGACAGAAAAAGTAAGAAAATCAGGATTGCAGCCCAAGGGACTATATCATAGCTTCTACATTATGTTTAGCCAGGCCATTTTAAAGTTAATAGAACTTTGGTAAAGAAAAGGTCAGCTTTTCCTTTTCTTGTCCTGAAATTGATAATGAGTAAATAAGAGTCCTGAACCATGGTTTCAACTGCCTTAGTAGGCTGTCAAAGGGCATTCAATCTGTCAAGATTTGACAATCATTTGTACATGTTACATAACTGTAATTATTTAACTACAAATTATTCACATTAAAATCTTTATCATAACCAGCCATGTATACTACAAATTTTCTATTTCTAATTATTTTAGAGAATGTCAGGGATTAGTAGCAGGTTGAGAAATAACCCAAATCTTTTCTTTATTCTAAAATTTCCTGTTGTATATTTTATATTTGAAATTTTGTATTTGTTAATGATCTTCATACCACCTTTCTCCCTATTTTACCTGAAAGGAGTATTCTTCTAATAATTTTATACTATATTAGAACATAGCTTTCTTAATAGACAAATATTATTTACTTTGTAACAGTATTTAAATAAACCAAAGTTATTACTTACTCTGGATTTTTAACTAAAAGACCCTGGATAAAGTCTGTGGCCAGCTGTGAAACTGATGAAAAAGTTTCTTCTGAATAGTCTACATTAACTTGAGAAATATTGAGGTATGTTTCTTGATTATCTTCTCCCACAAATGGTGATGTATGAGTTAATAACATATATGCTATTATACCAATATTCCTGAAAAACAAATAAGAGAGAAGAGGGGAACTTAAAATGTATATGAATTTTAAAACATTTATGTAAAATATAAAGTATTGACTCTACATATTCCTCTCCTCAAAACTGGTACAGTTAAACTACAGACTTAAACTGCTTTTCAAAGTTCCTATAATACTATTAAAACTAAAACAATTGTGTTATCTCAAAGTTTGCCTCACAGAAAGAGAATACAAGGGAATGCATGTGTGTGTTATATAACATTAATATAATGTATTAAATGTATATCATTATATGGGCAGTCTCTCCTTCACACAGATACCTTTTGTGGAGTATACAAAGCTGCTGTAGCATTTCCTAAATAGTGTTCAATGACATAGTAATGATCTGTGAGGGGTTCTGTGCAAATAGGGGCTGCCAATTTGGCAAAGCACAAAGTTAGGCAGGCAATTTTTTTTACTGCAAAACTTTTCAAATTTGTAAATATGTTAATGACAAGTTTGGTGCCCCAAAGCCAGAAAGAGACAACATGGTACATGATTTGCAAACTTACTTTGCCATAGGATCTTTTGTCCTGGGCAAACCCATAAGCAGTTCCACAGAACACAGAGAAAAGCCTAAACTCTTCCACTTAGCCCATGCACTCAGTCCCCTCTGTGGTCCTAACTGAAGCTCCAGTATCTGTTCTGGTTCTATTTCCTATCATATTCTCTCTGTGCTAGCCTCAAAACTCACAATTCCCTAGAGATGTAATCTCATAAAACTAAACTCTTTGGTGGACTTGACGTCATTTCTTTGCTTGGTTCTTCTATATCTAGATCAAATGTCTCCCATTGTGAGGTGGAACCTGGCAATATACCATCTGCTGCTTCTTCCACGCTTATTGAGCATTTTGCCTTTGTTACAGAATATGTAGCACTGTACTCCAATTATTTTGGTCTTTTACTCAACTGAGTTTTCATCACAGAAAGAGATTTTCATATTTATTTCTATACCTTTGGCTCAGAACCTAAGTGTTACTTAAAAAGAATGGACAGGTAAGTATTTTCCTGTAGCATAATGATACTTAAAATCTTTTAAATAAAAACTTATTATTTACACTTGGAATCAAATAACTCCAGAATATATTATTACCCAACTTTTGATAAAAGCATTTAGGTAACTAACAAAATCTTACCACATATCTGTTGCCGTGGTAATGGGATCATAGTTCAGGATTTCTGGAGCTGAAGGAGAAAATAAAATTCAAATTCAATACTGACAAATTTCAAAACTTGAAAATTATTTTATATTAAATTACAACTGGATATAATTTTGGAAAGCCTAATGATATAAGGCCAACAGAAACTTAGTATAGTATTAATTATCTTGTAATTGGACACTTAAACATCACTAACAATGAGCAAATTATAAGATTGGATGCCTCAAAAACATAGATAATATTCTTAGGATAACTGGTAGGTATGTAGTTTTTAAAACCCAACTTGTTAAGATTAATCTCAGAAAAAAATTTTATGAAGTAAAATGTTAGAAGCTGGAATTTTAAAAAACTTTCAGTTTAAATTATTAAATTATTATTATTCTATTAAGAATTAATTTGCATTATTTTAGTAGGCTGATTTGTTTTTCTGTGGGGTAAATAGGATCATACATACTTGCACTGAAATTATGAACAAATGATTCTTGGAAGTGCTAGCTTTTTAAGTAGATTAAATATTCTTCTTAAAAACTATCAGAAACCTAATTTCCTAAGCAATTAATTTCCTGCTATCTCTTCCCTTATCAAAAAAAGGTACAAAATAATTCTCTGTACTTTGTAAACATTACCATATATTTCAAATTAGTACAGCCTAAACTAGGATTTATGATTGAAAAATAACATTGTTTCACAATATGGCTTCATAGTTTCTCCAAAGAAAAACTGTTTCTTAAAGGCTAACATTTTTGTTAAATAAAGCCTTTAAGTCATATATATTGTCAGCTTCCATTAACCACCTACAACCTTTTCACATACTACTTTGAGCTGCATTATCAACAATTACATCCATTTATTCTAGGCTACCAATGCCTCTGTTAGCATTTAAAAGTCAGGAATTTACTTTGTTTTTCATTACTGGGAACGACAGCTGCCTAGCTGAGTGGTACCTGTTCTGTTTAGCTGTATCTTTTCAATGCCCTCATGGGGATATCAATAAAGCAGCAACAAAAAAAGGTAAAAAGAATATTACTATAAATTAAAATACTTCATATCCTGATTCACACAGCTTAAAAACCTTTCCTATGCATGATCTGATTTGTAGATTTTGTATAATATGCCTAGATTACCTAATCATAGGTTGTTTCTGGCACCCTTCTTCAAAACCCTCCCTTCACAACCCTATGCAAAACCTCATATTTAAACAGCAGCAACAAACAAAAAGGAGTTGCCCTACTAACAAATTCCTTCAGAACTGAAAATACTGTATTGTAAACAGCTACAGAGTGGGGGCCAGAGAGGAACAGAAATGAGATCTATCCAACAGCCAGGCTTCAAAGGCAATCACGTGCCACTTGATTCTTTTAGTTTTTCTTTTTCCATTTTTCTCCTATTCTCTAACCTCCCTCTTACTCATTTATTTTTTCCTTATCTACAAAGCCTTTACACACAAACATTAAACTTCTGCACTTACACATTCAACATCCTATGTCTGAATTGTTGTAAATGTTTCAATACTGTTATATTCACTTAAATGTGTCATAACCCAGTTTCAATGCATTATAATACTTGAATGAATTTAATCCTAGAATCACATACTCTAAGATATACAGTTTTTTAGAGGTATCATTAACGTAATAAATTTCAGAATGGTATAGAAAATACAAGGAAATTCTTACCTAAGTATTCTGGTGTTCCCATAATTTCCCGAAGTTCACATGCATTCCCTATTTTTCGAGACATTCCAAAATCTACAATTTTTACATCCCCAAGAGGGCATATGCTGCTCAATAATATATTCTGTGGCTAAATAAAGCACAACAAAAAAGTGATTAGTAATACATAAATAAAAGAACACTAGTCTCAAAATGGAGGAAAATTAAGTGGAATTTATTGCTTAGCTATTATACATTTCACTGAGTCATTCATCAAACATCTACTGCTTTACTATTTAAGAGGAGCTATCATTCAGTGATGCATAAAAAGCCTAAAACACACTCAAAAAGGGGTCTGGGTTTGGGGGAAAAAAAGGAGTCATATAGATAGATAATGAGATATAGATTACTCAATAATAAAGACAAGCCTACCTAATTCTACCCATAAGAAATTCAGAAGGCTTTTCAGTAGAGATGATGCCTTAGCTGAGTCTTAAAGGATAAGTAGGAGTATGCTGGTTAGAAAGGTACTCTGAGAAATAGCACAAAAGGCGGCATAAAGGAAAGAATATGCATACGTTTCCAGAAACAGAAAATGGTTCCGTACAGTGTGATGGTTCTGGGTGTGACTGTTCCTAGGTTTTAGCTTAGACAGTAAGATGCATAGTACACCTCATCCACTATCTCCTAGAACCATGTGACTATGCTATACTATTGCAGGCCTTAAGGCCTATTACAAAGTTCTGTGCTGCTGCTATAAACCATACACCTGTCAAGGTGCTGCTCCCAAAGTCTGTGCAAAGAATCATAATAATCTCTTCTTTATGTCTATTTTTTGAGACCGAGTCTCACTCTGTTGCCCCGGCAAGGGTACAGTGGCATGTCATTGGAACTCACTGCAACCTCACACTCCTAGGCTTAAGCGATCTTCCTGCTTCAGCCTCCCGAGCAGCTGAAAATACAGACATGTGCCACCATGCTCGGCTAATATTTTCTATTCTATAGAAATAGAAAATAGAGCGGGGTCTTGCTCTTGCTCAGGTTGGTCTCGAATTCCTGAGCTCAGGTGATCCTCCTGCCTCAGCCTACCAGAGTGCTAGGATTACAGGCATGAGCCACCACACCTGGCCCATAATAGTCTCTTTACTTTGGGAAAATCTTATGCTTGTTTATTATTAAAGCACAGAAACCATTATAGAAGAAAAGGTGAGAGAAAAAAGCCAGGTTTATATACCATCCTGACTTCAATTGCTGTGTGATGCTATGTAATGCATTTGGCTTGTCTTTAGCAGGAAAAAGACCCAAGAGGAAGCTGGTGGGAGCATAATTATCTTGGCATTTACTCTGTTGCCTCTTTTCCCATATCTTGTCAGTAGGGGAGATGGTAGAAATGTTAGATGGTAAATACTGTTCCCCATAGCATGCCCAATACAGAAGTACAGATTTTTTTTTCTTTTGTAAAAGTGGTAAGAAGATTTAGATTATTAATAGGAGAGAGCCATGGACTATAGGTAGAGATTTTGGAATTATTATTATGATGAAAGTGGTAGTGGAAGCCAAAGGATCATGCAGGGAGACTGCACAGAAAGAAGAGTCCATTGTTTAAAAAATAAGAGACAGATTGATTTAAATTTTATGGTCCTCTGTGTGGCTGTGAAGGAAGGAGAACGAGAAAGGATGATAATATGGGAGGCTGAGGTTTCAGGAATTGGGTAAGGAGCCTGAATAATCTGGAAGGAGCCAAGACTGAAAGCTTCAAGACAAAAATGAATGAGGATAATGGGAGCAAAGGAATGAGGATTAGTGTGAGCTGATCTTCAGTAATGGAGACTGTAACTGAGTATTTCAGAGGTAGACAGCTTTATAAAATAAGAAGGTCCAGAATGTGGCTATGAGAGTGGGATGGAATGGCATGATTATAGGATTAGAACATACGGAATGATGAATTTTAAAAGCCCAGCAATTAATTTGAGCTGTTCATACACGTAGCCTTCTCCTGTCTGCCAACACAAAATTAAGGCCATATAGCACATAGGTAAGCAAAAGCATACCCAGTGCAGTCTAAATGACCATGATCTGTTGTTTCTTGTCAATACCAGTTGCAGTTGTGCATTCCAAGAGCAGAGAAAGAACACAGATGTTATGTCAATTTAAATCACATGGTATGTTACCTTTAAATCAAGGTGGACAATGTTATTCTGATGTAGATAATAAACTCCTTCAAGTATTTGTTTAATAAGTCTGATAACATCGTTTTCAGAAACCCTTTCAGCCAACTCAGGTAAACACAGGTTGAAAATTTCTCCACCTGCAGCACTAAAATAAAATTCAAAGAATAGAAGCTTGAAAAAATCATTCACCTAAAAATGAAAACTTTTAAATACTGTATAGATGTTAAGTAAAAGACACATAGCATCTACACACACATGCGTGCACGCACACACGTGCACATACACACACTTAAAGACAGGGCAGAGAGGGAGGAGTAAAGAAGAAAATAAATGACAAAAATATTTCAAATTCTGGGTATTAATACTTGCATATTTAATAAATAAAATTGAATTGTTTCATGATCCAATAATGTTGTAGGCTGCCCTAACTCTGCAATAAAAATAACAAAAATAATGGCTAACACTTGGAGCTCTGCTCTATGCCTATATATATATGTATGAATATCATCTATTTTGATTCTAACAAACATGTGAGGTAGGTGGTTATTACTGCCACTTTACAGATGAAAAAACAAGTACAATTAGGTTAAGCAACTTGTAAAAGGTCACATAGTAAACAGGGGGCCAGAATATGAATCTACATAATATGGATAAGAAACAACATTCCTAGTCCGTATCCTATACTGTAGCTTCAGGTAGACTACTTGTGGCCAGAACTCAAGTGTGTGTGTGTGTGTGTGTGTGTGTGTGTGTGTGTGTGTGTGTGTGTGGTGTGTGTGTGTATGTGTGTTATAAGAACCCAAATATATGTAAGTATGTAATATTTTATATATTTAAAGTATTATATATAAAAAATATTTTAAAGAATTGAAAGCTAAATAGTACTAAAAAGGGCATTATAATAGAGTATATAATATTACTTTTCTGGGAGGTAGTATTAGGTTTATTTATAAATCGTGGGGAAAATTTGAGATAGTTGAGTCATCTCATCTCCACTTTCTACAAAGCTAATATAAAAGAATCAAATGATTTTAATTTAAACACTAAATCTGCTATTTACCAGCAATATAACTTAAGGTCAGTCACTTATTTGGGTTTCCCCATCTGAGAAACAGAGAGATCACTAAAATCAATAGATTTTTTTTTGAGGATTAAATCTAAATAAGATAAAATTGGTAGGTTAGAACATCATACAAAAAAACTAGGTATTTATTCATAAATTTGTAAGGCATGTTTGGGAATACTCAAGTAAAGTATATTCTATATGATAAGATAGGTATTCATTCATGCTAGAAAATACTATTACTGTATTTATATTTCTTCGGTTCACTGCTATCCACAACATCAAGAACAGGGTCTTGCATGTACTGCAGTAGGTATTCAGTATGCATTTCCTGAATGAATAAATGATGGAATAGGTAGTCATTCTTCAGAGGTGTGGAAAATGGGATTCAGAAGTCTCAGTGACTGCCAAGAGGAAGAAATATGTCACAAGTATTAAAAGATATGAGAAGAAAAACTGATGGTAGCCTCAAATTTGAGTCCCAAGTTGAAAGTCACAAGGACTGACACTTCACACTGCAGATGTAACTTGCAATCAAGCTATCTGTACACAGTGGGCCAAATAGAAGCCACAGAGATTTGCTACTTTACACTTTGTTTATGACACTGCAGGAAAAGTTCTGTAGGACCACTGGTAAGGAATACGTGTGCAAGCCCCAACTACATATATGTCACTTCAGTACTATTCTATCCACTAAAACTCCCCGTAAATTCATGAGAAATTAACTTTAACATCTGCTTCAAGGAATCATAGTAAAGACAATTTGAGTATTGAAAATTTTAATTTGCTATTAAATTTATAGTAGTGAACTCCAGTATAGGAAGACAATTTTAGAAATTAACATTTTTTTATCTAAAAAAAATTAATTAATCTTCATGAAGAGTTAATATACAGACTGTCCAGTGGTCCCTTGGTCTACATGTCAGTGTTCACTTGTCACACCTTTTCTCAAGGTCTCCTGAGAGCAGAGTGGGAAACCCACATCACAGTGACAGTGACACTCTCACTCCTTCTCTTTCTGGTTACATTATTTAGTTTTAACTAGACAAATCCTCTCAAAACAGAAAGTGGTCTAAACATATTCCTGAAAAGATACTCAGGATAATATTACTTAATATTATATTAAGTAACAATACCAATGTACTATTTGCAATCATAAGCAAATAAGAAAATGAAGAGATGACACTAGATTCTCCTAGAATTCTTTGTTATGCAATTTACAAGATCTGAATATTGATAATCCAGTCCTATCTTATAAAAAATCAGACCAAACAATTTGAAATTACAAGAAAACTGTGTAAAATAAGGATTTACATATTTATATCTACTATTATGATATAAAAAATAGAAAGATCTAAATTCTTCATTATTACAGCAACATAAATTGTTTAGGTAAGAAACTCATTTTTAGTCGGGGCGCAGTGGCTCACGCCTGTAATCCTAGCACTCTAGGAGCTGAGGTGGGAGGACTGCTTGAGCTCAGAAGTTTGACACTAACCTGAGCAAAAGTTAATATCCTATTTAGAAAAATTAGCCAGGTGTCATTGCTAATGGACTCAGGAGGATCGCTTCAGCACGAGAGTTTGAGGTTACAGTGAGCTATGGGCTATGATGACACCACTGCACTTTACCTGGGACAACACTTCCTCAACAAAATAAACCAACACAAAAAAACCTCATTCTTGAGTACTTTCTGATTATTTATGTCCCAATATTTTATGTTACATTCACTAAAGTTAACTTAATAACCAGAACACGCCAATTCTAAAATTCAAAACAAAATACAAGAAAACAAAGTGAGAAAGTGTAGAAAGTACTTCTCAGTATCCAGGAAATTAAGAGACAGGATAGCAGGGTGAGTATAGGGATTCCTATGAAAATCAAGACTGCCTTGGTTTCATTCTAGCTGTCACTACTGGCTATGTAAACTGGGATAAATGTGCTTCTGTTTCTTCTACTGTAATATGTGAATAATAATATATCCTAATTCATTGGTATAAGAATTAAATTAGATAAAGTATTGCACAATAGATGTTATAAGGATCAAAACAGATCTCAATAAATCTTTATCACAGTGTCTGACACATGGTAAATATTCAATGAATATTAGCTATTATTATAATGAGTCAACAAATATACACTGTAAATTTATAACAACAAATATACACTGTAAATGTTCACTAGCCAACATTTCTGAATCTCACATTTCTGAATTTTGGGGCTTTTGATTTTGAAGGAAATTTTTAAAGTCTTTGCTAAATTAAAATTCATTTTTAGAAACATCATATTGCACACATAAAAATGCACACTATGTATTCTTAGGTGAAGAAAGAGGGTTGCAATATAGTATTGCCCAGTAAATCGTAATTTTGTTTCTAAAAGCATATATGCATAGACCAAAAAATAATAATTTTAAAACACAGGAATAGACCATAAAATAACTATAGTTTACATGTGATTTCTATTTTCTATATCATCTAAATTTAACAGAATGAATAGGCACTACTTTTATAACTAAAAATATTATCCTCACGGTTTTTTGCTTGTTTTAATAACAAGACCAAACAAACTGCTGTGCTTGTCAGCCAATCACATTGTTTCTTCCTTTTAGTTTGACAAGCTGACCAACGTCTTTCGTAGGACTGCCATTTTTCATACAAAAGAGGAAATAGGTGAAACTATGAAAAACAGAAAATTAGAAAGACTTAAGAGTAGGGAAATGATAGATACATATGAAACAAATTACAGAAGTTAGCAGAAATTGGAAACAGAAACAGAGGCAGTAAGTAGCAGACAAACAGAACCTTTGTTTAAAAAGCCACCCAGAGTAGTGACTACAAAAAAGAAAAAATATCTCTACAGTTTAAAAAGCCACCTATATCATTATCATTGCCCTGGAAGATACATTCAGGTTCTACCTTTTCTCTTTCTATAAGAAGAGTTTGCCCGCTTAGGACACCAACCAACATAAATTTGCTGGAGTGTTTGCATTCATTTTTGTGTGTGTTTTGTGTGACCGTATTGATAACAGTACTTTGGTACAGGTTATACTGTCATTTAAACCTACGGCTATATATCATCTAGATCTACATCTGTCTTTTACAGCTTTCTAAAGCACAGTTTAAAAATTAGTAGGGAAGTATACAATTATCTTTTAGAAAGACTCCCATAACATAATAAAAATAAAGTTAACATAAAAGATTAAAATCAGAATATTTTCCTATCCAAAGTGATGAATTTCCATGGATACCAGAGAGCCAAAGTTTTCAGTAAAACAAAATATCTACATTATCCATAAAATACTAGTCATATAGCTTTGAAAAGCCATGGTAAAGATTTTTTAAATAAGTATTTATTTCTAGTGATCAAAATGAAGTAGTTTTTAGCTTTTTAAGAGTCTCTTTTAAGGCCGGGCGCGGTGGCTCACGCCTGTAATCCTAGCTCTCTGGGAGGCCGAGGCGGGCGGATTGCTCGAGGTCAGGAGTTCGAAACCAGCCTGAGCCAAGAGCGAGACCCCATCTCTACTATAAATAGAAAGAAATTAATTGGCCAACTAATATATATACAAAAAATTAGCCAGGCATGGTGGCGAATGCCTGTAGTCCCAGCTACTTGGGAGGCTGAGGCAGGAGGATTGCTTGAGCCAGGAGTTTGAGGTTGCTGTGAGCTAGGCTGACGCCAAGGCACGAGACTCTGTCTCAAAAAAAAAAAAAAAAAAAAAAAAGAGTCTCTTTTAAAACTATATTCCTATGCTAATAGGGGAAACAACATCCATGGAATTTTAGAATGGAAAGAAATTAGTCAGAATATTAACTAGAACATGTGATATGAATACCAACCCCCTTTTTGGAGGATTGTTTTAAGAATTAAATGGGAATACAAATAATGTGCTTAATGCCTGTCATATAGTAAATACTCCCCATGTTATTGTTGAAATTGCTAAGATTATATAAAATGTTTTCCTCTGGAGATCATTCCAGAAAGTAAGGCTTTCTATATTGCATGTTTTGTTGTAGTCTCCATCATTTTCTGTTGGGTCCCTAATATTTACTTAAAGATATTTAATAAATTTATTTTAAAAA